TACCTCATCCTCCCGAGCAGCTGGAACAATAGGTGCATGCCACCATGCCCAGCTAAGTTTTGTATTTTTCATAGACACGGGATTTCACCATGTTGGCCAGGCTGCTCTTGAACTCCTGACCTTAGATGATTCCCTCACCTCGGTCTCCCAAAGTGCTGGGATTACAGTCATGAGATGCCACACCCGGCTTTGATGTCCATTTTAGAATGTACTATGGGTTGGGTGCAGTGGCTCACACCTGTAATCCCAGCACTTTGGGAGGCAGAGGTGATCAGATCACCTGAGGTCAGGAGTTTGAGACCAGCCTGTCTAACACAGAGAAACCCTGTCTCTACCAAAAATACAAAATTGGCCCGGGGTGATGGTGCATGCCTGTAATCCCAGCTACTCAGGAGGCTAAGGCAGGAGAATCGCTTGAACCCAGGAAGCAGAGGTTGCAGTAAGCTGAGATTGCAACATTGCCCTCCAGCCTGAGCAACAGGAGTAAAACTCTTTGTCCCAAAAAAAAAAAAAAAAAAAAAATACTATGTAGGCCAGGCACGGTGCCTCAACCCTGTAATCCCAGTACTTTGGGAGGCCAAAGCAGGAGGATCCTTTGAGCCCAGAATTTTCAGACCAGCCTGGGAAACATAGTGAAATTCCGTTTCTGTTTGTTTGTTTCTTTTGTTTTTTAAATACAAAACTAGCCGGACTTGGTGGCTAATGCCTGCGGTCCCAACTACTCAGGAGGCTGAGGTAGGAGGATCGCTTGACCCCAGGAGGCCAAGGCTGCCGTTAGAGGAGATCATGCCACTGCACTCCAGCCTAGGTGATAGAGCCAGACCCTGTCTCAAAATATTAATTAATTAAAAGTATTTTGTAATAACAGAAAGTGATTTTTGTCCCACTTCACTGCCCCACGTCCTACGCCACCCTGGGAAAAGGGAAGAGAGTGACTCACAACTCAGTAAGTCACTGCCCTCTGGCTGAATAGGGATTCCAAGTGGAAGCTCACCTCTGATGCCAAGATTTACAGAATGTACATGTCTTACAGATAGAAGTTTTAAAATTCTCAATCTCATTTTAATAATTTAAACAAGTTTTAAGTTATTAGATTATATACACAGAAGTCAACATGTCACAACTAATCATATCCAATAAACTCACGCACTCATCTGATCCCAAAGTCCCCCGCCCCTTCTTTTCTTTTGAGACAGGTCTCACTCTGTTGATCAGGCTGCAGTGCAGCGGCATGATCTTGGCTCACTGCAGCCTGGACCTCCTGAGCTCCTGATTCTCCTCCCTCAGTCTCTAGAGTAGCTGGGATTACAGGTGCGCACCATCATGCCAAATTAAGTTTTTTTTTTTTGGCAGAGATAAGGGTCTCACTATGTTGTCCAGGCTGGTCTAGAACTCCTGGACTCAAGCAATCCCCCTGCCTCAGTCTTCTAAAGTTCTGGGATTACAGGCATGAACCACTGCACCCAGCCTCTCTTTCTTCATTACTTTGCTTCCTTCCCTAATTCTGTACATATCTCTCATTCTCCCCTTCTCTCTCTAGCTCCTGTTTTATTTTTCCCCAGGATTCTGCTCTTCATTTTGTACCCCTCTCCTCTCCTGCTGTTTATCCCCTTCTTCCCTCTATTCCTTCTCTTCCACCTCTTCTGCTCCATCCTCGCAACTTATTTAACATCTTGCTGCTCTTTTCCCCAATCTTTTGATCATCTTGTATCTACATATGAGATAGAAATTTACAAATAATAAGTACTGCATTTATTCACTCCAAGAAAAGTAAAAGCAAAGGCCCATAATATGGCAAGGCAAGGATTAAAAATAAAAAGAAAAGAACGAGTTTTCCTCTGCCTATCAAGCTCAGGTCAAGGATGGTTACAGGATAACACTGTCCGAATAACCAAGTCTAAACGAATGGGCTCCAGACACCCCCACATTCCAGAGCAAGGTTGAAGAAAAAAAAGAGAGTGAAAGATTCTTTTGCTGTTACTCTTTTTCCAGGTTTCTTAAGCATTATGATGTTTTACAAATGTATTTAGCCAGTTCGTGTTTTTCTTTTGATGCAGCTACAAGGTCACCGGCTATGCAAGGTCACAAGATATGTTATGCTGTCAATTACATGACCTGTCACTGTATAATTAATTGTTTTGTAAGGCCGCTTGTAAAAACCCCACTCTGTCTTTGTTCAATACTCAGCTTTTTGGATATGAATCCACTGAGCTGGTGTGTACCTAAAATAAACAATTCTGTTTCTCTCATATTGGTCTCTCCATTCTTCACTTTACCGCAACACATATATTTCCACCTCTTCTCCCATCTCTGCGCCTCCTCTGCTCTCCCTGTTACATTCCCTCTTGCCTGTTATACCCTCATCCCCACTCTCTAGAACTCCAGATCCCCAGGTGTCCTCCCTGCTGTGGTTCTCACTCTGTTCTTTTTGCCACCAGCACCACTCTGCTCTGTCTGCCCTGGCTCCAAATGCCTCCTCCTCTCCCTCACTCTGATGAGCCTCCCTCTTTGCTGCCCTTCTCCCTACCTTGCCGTCCTTCCTCTCTCTGTACATCTAGCTTTTCTCTACATTTCTCCAGTTGCTTTTCTCCTCCTGCTTTCTTATCTTTTTTATTTTCACTTTTGCTGTCTCTTCGCAAATCCTTCACCATCCTCTACTTTGCCATCTGTTATGGGTCTTTAACATTCTGCTTTTCTGTCTCAGGTTTTCTACTGCTCTCTCAGTCCCTCTCTCTGTCTCCTGATCCCTTTGGCCCACACAATCGCAGGAGGGTTTTGGAGTAAGACACCTGCATCCTGGAGGAGCGCATTTTCCAGGGGCTGGAACTGAGCAGGCAAGAACACCCCGTGTCACAGGACAGGCCCCGGGCAGCTCCCCAACGCGGGTTCAGGAGAAGCGGTGACTGCGGAGGAGAGACCTGGGGAACAGCAGGGCCTGGCACGAGGAGGGAGGTTGCCTGACAAGGGTGGGATCTGCAGGATCCCAGGACAAGACAGAGGACGCAGCCTCCCCGGGACAGGGGCCGCGGCGCTGTGCTTCAGGGACCGACAAGGGCAAGGTTGGGAGGCGTCCAAGGCGGGAATCCACTTCGCGGGTGAGGACTTTAAAAAGCGCGGGGCGGAGGAGTCTGAAAATGGTTTTGAGCAAAACAAACAAACACAAAACAAAACAAAACAAAAAAAACTACCCGATAGAAAATGTATATATTGCCCTACAGCAGAAAGACTGTGGATGGGACCAGCCTCAGGGCGACTTTAGACCCAAAAGGAAGCGACTTCCGGACTCTCACGGGGATGTCTCAATTTGCTCTGGGTGAAGATGGGCGAGAATTTCCAGATCTATGGGGACCCTAGGTCCCAGGGACAGAAGCGCTGAGGACCTGGGAAGCGCAGACTTAATACAAAACAGCGAAACTCACCGCCGCGGTGTGACCGTCACTCCACGCGATCAGCTTCCAGGTTTGCGAGAATCTGCGCGCGCAGGACAGAAACCAGGCCTGGGCGGGACCCGCGAGGTGGTGGGCGGGGCCTGGGCGAGGTAGGGGCGGGGCGCGAAGCAGAGAGACTTTGCAGTTTAGAACCTGCAGAGGGCAGAGCCGTGACCGGATCTGTGTGTCTCACATCCTGGCTCCCAGCGCCTCTGTTTTTGGGGTTTTGGAGGCGAGAGCGGCCAGGAAGTCTGAAGCATGATTCAAAAGCCCTGGAATTGTCTGGAACGGGGATGCAAACTAAAATGTGAAATGCAAAGCCCTGCCTGGGCGGAATGCACGATTTCATGCTGATGGCCCACAGAACAGAATAGACATCCTCTTCCTTTCTATTCTCCATTCATACGGTAGGGAGGGTCGGTCCTGTGCTCAGCTTCAGAGTCTTCCCTAGAGCCACCGTTTGGGGTGCGGGACGGAGTGCTCAGGCCAGGGAGGAGTGAGGTCACCACCTGCTGGTTAAACACAGCATGGGTGCGGGCGCGAAGGCAGGAGCCTGAGGTCCCAGCTACTCAGGAAGTAGCGGCAGGAGGATCGCTGAGCTCTGGGGTCCAGGCCAGCCTGGGCGACAAAGTAACACCACCTCCCGCAGGGACCCCTTCCTTGTCTCCCTCTCTCTCCCTGTCCCTCTCTCTTTTTAAACTTTTTTAAATAAAATTTTTGATGGTGTGACATAGGGATCCAACATTATTCTATTCCGTGTGGATATCGTTATTTGTCCCAGCACATTTGTGGAAGAAATCTATTACTTTTCTTTCTCACGTTTTTCCTTTTTCTTTTCTTTTTTTTTTTTTTTTTTTTTGAGACGGAGTCTCGCTCTGTCGCCCGGGCTGGAGTGCAGTGGCCACATCTCAGCTCACTGCAAGCTCCGCCTCCCGGGTTTATGCCATTCTCCTGCCTCAGCCTCCCGAGTAGCTGGGACTACAGGCGCCCGCCACCTCGCCCGGCTAGTTTTTTGTGTTTTTTAGTAGAGACGGGGTTTCACCGTGTTAGCCAGGATGGTCTCGATCTCCTGACCTCGTGATCCGCCCGTCTCGGCCTCCCAAAGTGCTGGGATTACAGGCTTGAGCCACCGCGCCCAGCCTAACACAAACACTTTAATGTCAATTAAGGCTTGAACTCAATGTTAAGTCAACAGAAACTCGAGTCAATGCTGAATTGACTCTAATGTCAATTAATGCCTGATGGTTTGCTATACTCATTTCATTGGGAACAGTTAGCTCAAAAATGAATTTTCTCATGTTCTGTAAGGAGTGACCTCGGACTAAAGACCTTGCCACACTTATGACGTTTGTAAGATTTCTGTCCAGTATGGATTATCTGATGTCTAATGAGGTGTGAACATGAAGTAAAGGCTCTGCCACAATCACCACACTTGTGAGCTTTCTCTCCTGTATGAATTCTCCTATGTTTTGCATAGGATGAAGCTTGACTGAAGACCTTGCCACCGTCATGACCTTTGTAAGGTTTCTCTCCAGTATGAGTTTGCCAATGAACTGCAATGTACAAACGATGTCTGAAAACTTTACCACATTTATTACACTTGTAAGATATCCCTTCATTATAGGTTCTCAAATGATTTGCAATGGTTTTAGCGTTACTGAAGACTGTGAGAATCATTACATTAGTCAAATTTCCCCATACCATGCATGAACTGCCTGATGGGGAATAAATGTTGACTGTCCACTAAAGGCTTGGCCACACTCTTTACACTTGTAAGGTTTCTCTCCGGTGTGAATTTCAGTATGTTGTGCCAGGTGTGAATCACTCCCAAAAGTCTTGTGACAAACCTTACATTTGTATGGCTTCTCTCCAGTATGAATTCTGTCTTTTAAGGTGTGATTTCCAACTGAAAACTTTGTCACATGCTTCACATTTCTAAGGTTTCTCTCCAGTATGAAGTCTATGATGACGTGAAAGGTGTGATTGTTGATTAAAAACCTTCCCACATTCGTTACACTTGTAAGGTTTCTCTGCAGTGTGAATTCTAGTATGTCTTGCCAGGAGTGAATTACGCACAAAAGCCTTGTCACAAACAGTACATTTGTAAGATTTCTCTCCAGTATGAAGTCTACGATGGTATATAAGGGATGGCCAGTGACGGAAGGTATTTCCACACTCATTACACTTGTAAGGTTTCTCACCACTATGAAGTCTACGATGGCAATGAAGGGATGACCTGCGACTGAAGGTCTTGTCACACTCATTACACTTGTAAGGTTTCTCACCACTATGAACTCTACGATGGCATACGAGGTATGACCTGTGACTGAAGGTCTTGCCGCACTCATTACACTTGTAAGGTTTCTCTCCACTATGAATTCTAGTATGTTTTGCCAGATAGGAATGACATGCGAAAGCCTTGTCACAAACCTTACATTTGTATGGTTTCTCTCCAGTATGAACTACCTTATGTGTCTCAAGGCTTGATTGGCGACTGAAAACTTTTTCACATTCTTCACATTTGTAAGGTTGCGCTCCAGTGTGAATTGATTTATGAATTAAAAGATCTGAATTTTGACCAAAGGTCTTGCCACATTCATGACACTTGTAAGGTTTTTCTCCAGGGTGAATTCTAGTATGTCTTGCCAGTTGTGAATTCTGCATGAAAGCCTTGTCACAAACCTCACATTTATAAGATTTCTCTCTGGCATGAAGTCTTCGATGGCATACAAGGGAGGAATTGTGACTGAAAGTCTTGCCACACTCATTACACTTGTAAGTTTTCTCTCCAGTGTGAATTCTGGTATGTCGTGCCAGCTGTGAATGCCACGTGAAAGCTGTGTCACAAACCTTACATTTGTATGGTTTCTCTCCAGTGTGAATTCTCCTATGTGTCTCAAGGGTTGATTTGTGACTGAAAACTTTGTCACATTCTTCACATTTGTAAGGTTTCTCTCCAGTATGAATTCTATGATGACGTGCAAAGTTTGATTGTTGATTAAAAGCCTTGTCACATTCATTACACTTGTAAGGTTTCTCTCCAGTATGAATTGCCTTATGAATTATAAGGGCTGAATTTTGACCAAAGAGCTTGCCACACTCATTACACTTGTAAGGTTTTACTCCAGTATGAAGTCTACGATGGCATGTAAGGGATGACACCTGACTGAAGGACTTGCCACACTCATTACACTTGTAAGGTTTCTCACCCGTGTGGCATCTCTGATGGCATGCAAGGTACTGCTTGTGATTAAAGAGCTTGCCACATACATCACATTTATATGGTTTGTCTCCTAAACGGATTGTCTGGTGTTTCCTTAAGAGTGAGCTACAATTAAAGGCTTTGCCACTCTCATTACATTGGAAAGATGTTTCTGTCATGTGTACTTCCTGTTCTTGTGTGAGTAATGAAGAATTCAAGAAATTATTCCTATAGTTATTAGAAATCTGGGTTTGGGGCCTACAAGAAATTCTTTGGGATGCTGAAACCGAGGGAGCATCACAGGTAGACTTCTCAAGTTGATTAGCAATTTTGCCTCTGATCTGAAATATGTGCAGTTCAGGCAGATGTGAATGAAAGCTTGATCCAAGCTGATCTTTAATAGGCTTGTTTCCAGCATGCCTTTGATCATATTGGTCTGTACTACCAGTCAAGATTTTTATTTTTGTCATGGGTGCTTCATGGCCATTTCTTTCATCTTCTTGACACTGAAACTCAATGTCATGAATTTCTTTTTCAATGTCCTGGAAGCAAAAATCTCCAATGTGATGACTTTCAGGTCTTTGCAATGTCCCTGGGTAGAACACTTCTGTATTGCCTTGCCCTGTTGACAAGACCTCCTTCATCATGCATTTGGAAGAGATATCTACAAAATATAAACACCAACAGGTTTCCAATTAAGTCCAGATGGCAAATCATACTGAAGTGTGTAAATATGACACAAAAAACAATACTTATTTTGAACTTCCCAAACATGATCTTCAAAGTATAGGAACACAAAAGGAGTAAGGTTCTTTAATAAATAAAGGGCGATTACATGTCCTTCAAATCAATTCTATGAAAGTCTATTTTCTTTTTTTGTCTTTTTTTTTTCCTTTTTTGTGGAGAACGGGGTCTCGCTATATTACCCAGGCAGGTCTCGAACTCCTGGGCTCAAGCTATCCTCCCGCCTCTGCCTCCCTGAGAGCTGAGATTACAGGCGTGAGCCACCGCGCCCGGCTGAAAGTCTATTTTCTGTATCATGACAAAACACTGACAGGGCACAAACATGTGTAAGCCTAAAGTGAGGAGTATTTTTCCACCCTGACCCTAAAGTGTATCACAATTTGCAAAAAACATATCACTGTCACATCAGTGAAGAGAAAAATACGTATTCTTCACATTTAAAGCATATTCACTGTATACAAATAAATACTAAAAGAAAAAACCCACACAATATACTATATTGGTAAATAATCCACAACACGCTCATGTAAGGATAACCAAAAGCAATGGAAATTCTGTACTGTCAAACAATTATAGCACTGAGAAGATAAGAAAAGATTACAAAAATTAGCCAGGTATGGTGGTCTGCGCCTGCAGTCACAGCTACTTGGGAGGCTGAGGCACAAGAATCACTTGAACAAGGAGGCAGAGGTTGCAGTGAGCCGAGATCACACCACTGCACTCCAGCCTGGGTGACAAAGTGAGACTCCACCTCAAAAAAAAAAAAAAAAAAAAAAAAGAAAAAAAAGAAAAAAACAGTTAATACAATATTTTTCTGAATAAATGTCATAAAATTATCTATATCCACACAAAACAGGCACTTAGTGACGTTTTTTAAATATTTTGTATTTTTATGTTTTTGAGACAGGGTCTTTCACTCCAGCTTGGAGTGCCATGGTGCGATCTCAGCTCACTGCAACCTCTGCCTCCTGGGTGGAGGTGATTCTCCTGCCTCAGACTCCTGAGTACCTGGGATTACAGGCATGCACCACTATGCCTGGCTAATTTTTGTGTTTTTAATAAAGATGGGGTTTCACCATGTTGGCCACCATGTTGACCAGGCTGGTCTCAAACTCCTGACCTCAAGTAATCCACCCGCCTCGGCTTCCCAAAGTTCTGGGATTACCAGTGTGAGTCACTGCACCCGGTGGCACTTTGTGACTTTAACGAGTGGAGTGTGTCAGTTATATTGCATACCACATACCAAAAAGCCATATATAAAATTATAAAAATTAATTAATAAAATATTGGAACCCATGATAAAACCAGCAAGCAAATAAGTACATTTATACAGGTTGCAGAATTCTAAACAATTCCTCTTAAGGAAAAATCCACAACTTCTACTTAACCACCAGCACACAATATCAGAACTGAAATACATGTTAAGATCACTACCTTCTGATGTATGAAGTCAAGGAAATACACTGCATTTGGCTGGGTGCGGTGGCTCACACCTGTAATCCTGGCACTTTTGGAGGCCGAGGTAGCGAATCACGAGGTCAAGAGATTGAGACCATCCTGGCTAACATGCTGAGACCCCGTCTCTACTGAAAAAATACAAAAAAAGTGGTGGCGGGTGCCTGTAGTCCCAGCAACTCTGGAGGCTGAGGCAGGAGAATGGCCTGAACCCAGAAGGCGGAGGTTGCAGTGAGCTGAGATCGTGCCACTGCACTCCAGCCTGGGCGACAGAGCAAGATTCCGTCTCAAAAAAAAAAAAAAAAAAAAAAAAAAAAATACACAGCATTTTTAAAGAATAATTGACTAGCAGCCCGGGCACAGTGGCTCACACTTGTAATCCAGAAAGCACTTTGGGAGGCCAAAGCACGTGGATCACGGAGTCAGGAGTTCCAGAACAGTCTGGCCATCTTGGGAAACCCCATCTCTACTAAGAATACAAAAAAAATCAACTGGGCATGGTGGCGGACACCTGTAATCTCAGCTACTCCTGGAGCTGAGGCAAAGAATTGTTTGAACCCAGGAGGCGGAGGTTGCAGTGAGCTGAGATCCTGCCATTGCACTCCAGCCTGGGTGACAGGGCAAGACTCCGTCTCCAAAATAAGTACATAAATAAATAAAGAGAATTGACTAGTAGCATAGAAAAGCAATTATGATGTCTCAACTACACTTTTGTGAACCCAGGCAATACAGCAATTTTATATATATGCATTCCCCATAGTTACCTAGTTCACTACGCATAAAATATAAAATATACAATGAGTATGGGAAATTTTATAGGGAAAAAAACTAAAATGGTTGAAAAAAAAAAAAAAAAAAAAAAAAAAAAAAACAGCATTTTAAGAATAATTGACTAACGGCGGGCACAGTGGCTCACACTTGTAATCCAAGCACTTTGGGAGGCCAAAGCACGTGGATCACGAGGTCAGGAGTTCGAGAACAGTCTGGCCATCTTGGGGAAACCCCATCTCTACTAAGAATACAAAAAAATCAGCTGGGCATGGTGGCGGACACCTGTAATCTCAGCTACTCTGGAGGCTGAGGCAAAAGAATTGTTTGAACCCAGGAGGCGGAGGTTGCAGTGAGCTGAGATCGTGCCATTGCACTCCAGCCTGGGTGACAGGGCAAGACTCCGTCTCCAAAATAAGTACATAAATAAATAAAGAATTGACTAGTAGCATAGAAAAGCGCAATTATGATGTCTCAACTACACTTTTGTAACAGCCAGGCAATACAGCAATTTTATATATATGCATTCCCCATAGTTACCTAGTTCACTACGCATAAAATATAAAATATACAATGAGTACTGGGAAATTTTAAACACTGAGATCAGAGAAAACATTGTATAAAACAAATTGCACAATAAAAACAAAACAAATGTGATATATGCTCTCTGGCCCGCATGTTCGTATTGGCTAAAAGCCATTATCAGATTTCTTATTCTCCTATAGGATGTTACTACAGATGGGGCCTTTTAGAGAATTTGGTCACGGGTGTTGACTAATTGTGAATAGGACTAGGGCTTTTAACTGTATTTTTTCTTTCTTCTTTCTTTTCTTTTTTATTTTTTTGAGACGGAGTCTTGCTCGGTCGCCAAGCCTGGAGTTCAGTGGCGCAATCGCGGCACACTGCAATCTGCCTCCCGGGTTCAGGCGATTCTCCTGCCTCAGCCTCCTGAGTAGCTGGGACTATAGGCGCCCACGACCACGCCCAGATAATTTTTATATTTTTAGTAGATACGGGGTTTCATCATGTTGGCCCAGATGGTCTCGATCTTTTGACCTCGTGATCCGCCCTCCTCGGCCGCCGAAAGTGCTGGGATTACAGGCGTGAGCCACCCCACCCCGCCTCTTTATCTGTTTTCGAGACAGAGTTTTGCTCTTGTTGCCCAGGCTGGAGTGCAATAGCGTGATCTAGGATCACCACAACCTCTGCCTCCCAGGTTCCAGCGATTCTCCTGCTTCATCCACCCAAGTAGCTGGGATTACAGGCACCACTCCCGGTAAGTGACACCACTATCGGCTAATTTTGTATTTTTAGTAGAGACGTGGTTTCTCCATGTTGCTCAGGCTGGTCTCAAACTCCTGGTCTCATGTGATTTGGCCGTCTCCGCCTCCCAAAGTGCTGGGATTACAGGCGTAAACCACCACGCCCGGCCAGGACTAGGGCTTTTTTTTTTTTTTGAGACGGATTCCAGGCTGGAGTTCACTGGTGCAATCTCGGCTCACTGCAAGCTCCGCCTCCTGGGTTCACGCCATTTTCCTGCCTCAGCCTTCTGACTAGCTGGGACTACAGGCATCCGCCACCACGCTCAGCTAATTTTTTTGTATTTTTAGAAGAGACGGGGTTTCACCGTGTTAGCCAGGATGGTGTCCATCTCCTGACCTCGTGATCCACCCGCCCCGGCCTCCAAAGTGCTGGGATTACTGGTGTGAGCCACCGCGCCTGGCCTAGGGCTGTTATAAAATGAGAAAGTAAAGAGCTGATTGCCTGTTCCTCTTTACACCATGTCAGGACACGGTAGGAAGATGGCTGGGCTAAACCACGAAGAAGGCTGTCACCAGGAACCAATCTAGCTAACATCTTGCTCTTAGATTTCCCACTTTCCAGATCCAGGAGAAATAAATTTCTAAGTCTTAAGCTTTCCAGTTTAAGCTATTTCTTCTTCTTTTTTTTTTTTGTCTGTTTTTGAGACCGAGTAATGCTTCATCACCCAGGCTGGAGTGTAGTGGCACGATTCTCCTACCTAAAGAGATTCTCTCACCTCAGTCTCTTGAGTAGCAGGGACTACAGACACATGCCACCGTGCCTGGCGAATTTTTTTTTGTGGGAGGGAACGGAATCTAATTCTGTCACCCGGGCTGGAGTGCAGTGGCCAATCATAGATTCACGGTTTCATTATGCTTGCCTGACTGGGCTCAAACTCCTGACCGTGAGCCATCTACCCACCTCAGCGTTTGAAAGTGCTGGAAATAGAGGTGAAAGCCACTGTGGCTGGCCAGTCTAAGCTATTTCTGACAGAACAGTAAAATGAGTGAGACAGGAAAAGGGGCATCACATCATTAAAATCACCGAAGGCTGACAAATCTTATTAAACAAAGGAAGTTTAGAGTCTGCACTATAAAAATATATGAAGCCATCTGATAGTATTCACTTGTTTTAAAAAGCAGGTGGATGAAACACCTGAAGTTGGGAGTTCAAGACCAGCCTGAACAATATGGAGAAATCCCGTCTCTACTACAAATACAAAAATTAGCCACGCTTGTGCCAGGCATAATCCCAGCTACTTGGGAAGCTGAGACAGGACAATCACTTAAACCCAGGAAGTGGAGGTTGCTGTGAGCTGAGATTGCACCACTATGCTCCAGCCTGGCCAACAAGAGGGAAATTCCACCTGAAAACAACCAAACAAACAAAAAAAAACGCCAGGTACACTGGATCATGCCTGTAATCCCAGCTCTTTGGGAGGCTGAAGAAGGTAGATCACTTGAGGTCAGGAGTTCGAGACCAGCCTGGCCAACATGGTGAAACCTCATCTCTACTAAAAACACAAAATTAGCACGTGGTGTGCATGCCTGTAATCCCAGCTGCTAAGTAGGCTGAGACAGAAGAATTGCCTGAAACTGGGAGGTGGAGGTTATGGTGAACTGAGATAGTGCCATTGTACTTCAGCCTGGGCAACAGGAGCAAATCTCCATTTAAAAAAAAAAAAAAACAAAAAAAAAAAACAAAAAACCAACCCTGGAGTTAAATTAACATTATGTCTCAATTAAAGACAGCAGACCGACAGTGTTCATGTACATGACCCCAATTTGCACGTATGGTAAGTGAGGGACAAGACCTGATTCTAGGTCTGAAGGATCCCATGACATGTTCTTAGGTACAATAGTCAGCCCAGGCAGTACAGAAAATGACCAGTCACAGAAAATACAAGGAGAACAGAAAGCCCCACATTGAGGGGGATACAAGGGCTGAGCTGTGCTGCTGACGGTGGTGCCAAGTCATCCCTCATGGACCATGTGCTGAGTCATCATGCCCTGCACACATTGATTCAGGCAGCCTCCTATAATTTTGTCCAGTGGATGAATAAGGTCTTGACTCACTCAGTGAGAGTAGTGTTGGAGGAGAGGGGCTCACGGGAAAATTGGGGTGTTCAGCATTACAAAATCAATAGGGTGGAAAGAAACAGTATTTGCTTCCAGATCAATGTACCATGTGAGACAACGTCAGGAAAGGAAGGGTGGAGGGCAGGAAGTAATGGGCCTGTAGGAGTGAACTTTGTACATGCACGTCTGTGGGAATAGAATTCCACTAGGATAGACCAAATCTTCAGCTTGGAGGAAAGTGGAACTAATTTAGCAAGTGGTAAAATATTGACCCAAGGTTAACTATGCAAATTACAACACGGGCAAGGGACAAGAATGAAAGAGATCCAAGAAAGCAGCAGTATGGTGGCCTGAGGTGAAAGCAGTTTTACATCTCTTAAATTCAATACCTCTGATTTCTAGTTTCAAGCATGTACTCAACAAAATTCTCTGTGTAGATTCCAGAAATGCGTACACACACAAAAAAACAAGTAAACGCTATGAAGAGTACAGTGCAGCAATGTAGGAGACGATGGGGGAGAACAAGGATCCCCTGGCTGAGTGCGTAGAGATGTGCTTGTGAAAACAGAGCCTGGCTGAGTGCACTGGCTCACGTCTGTAATCCCAGCACATTGGGAGGATGGGCGGGTGGATCACAAGGTCAGGAGTTCGAGACCAGCCAGGCCAGCATGGTGAAACACTGTCTCTACTAAAAAAATACAAAACATTAGCCGGGCATGGTGGTGCACGTCTGTAATCCCAGCTACTGAGAAGGCTGTGGTAGGAGATTGCTTGAACCCGGGAGGCGGAGTTTGCAGTGAGCTGAGATTGCACCACTGCACTCCAGCCTGGGTGACAGAGCAATATTCCATCTTAAAAAAGAAAAAAAAAAGGAAAAGGAACTGTACCTTTAATAGAGATGTGGTTTCACTATGTTGGACAGGCTGGTCTCGAACTTCTGACCTCAGGTGATTCACCCACCTCAGCCTTCCAAAGTGCTGGGATTACAGGTGTGTGCCACCACACCCAGCCTGGCAGTATGATTTATAAGAATAAAGAGAAGAAACCAACCTACATGTTCACAACAGATAAATATATGAACAAAATGTGGTATACATATAAAATGGAATATTATTCAGCCTTAAAAACAAACTCAGATGGGGCCAGGGGCGGTGGCTCATGCCTGTAATCCCAGCACTTTGGGAATCCAAGGCAACTGAATCACGTCAGGTCAGGCTATCAAAACCAGCCTGGTCAACATGGCGAAACCACCATCTGGAATAGAACTACCAAAAATTAGGTGTGGTGACACATGCCTGTAATCCCAGCCACTCAAGAGGCTGAGGCAGGAGAATCACTTGAACCCAAAAGGTGGAGGCTGCAGTGAGCCAAGATCATGTCACTGCACTCAAGCCTGGGTACCAGAGTGAGACTGAGTCAAAACAAACAAACAAACAGACAAAAAACATAGAAACAGACAAGTTGAAAGCCACTGTGTCTTAAGGAAATGACAGTAGAACTAAAATATGTAAACCTCATTCAACCTCACAAGCTCCCTCACTAAGATTAATGAAAACTATATCTGCTACAGGGTTGATCCTACAAGAAACTGAACATAGGTTTTCTTGTTAAAAATCAACAGTGACACATATTGGTGTGAAAAATGTGAAATGAACAAGAGTTCGGTCAAGAGCCTCATACATATGAGGCTGTGAGCCCGAATGACATCCTCACTGGGAGGAATTTCAACACCACTGACTGCTGCTTAGAGAAGATGATCATTAGTTTACGGCATGAACATTGTCACAGTGCCAGTGAGAGATGCTTCTGTGATGTTCCTCAAAAACCAGAATGAGCTGAGCACGGTGGCTCATGCCTGTAATGCCAGCAGTTTGGGAGGCCAAGGTGGGTGGACCACCTGAGGTCGAGTGTTAGAGACGAGCCTGACCAACACGGAGAAACCCTGTCTCTACTAAAAGTACAAAATTAGCTGGGCATGGTGGTGCATGCCTGTAATTCCAGCTACTCGGGAGGCTGAGGCAGGAGAATCACTTCATCCTGAGAAGCGGAGGTTATGGTGAGCTGAGGTCATACCATTGCACTCCAGTCTAGGCAATAAGAGCGAAACTCCATCTAAAAAAAAAAAAAAAAAAAAAAATGTATGGGGCAAAATCACAAAAGAGAATACAAAACCAGGAAGAACCAAGACAGACCAGAGCACACTCCTCAGGCCTACAGGGACATTTTCCTCACCCACAGACTCCAGGTTCCTGTAGTTCTCCAACATCACTTCCCTGTATAAAGCCCTCTGCGCAGGGTTCAGGCATTTCCACTCCGCCAATGAGAATTCTATAGCCACATCCCTGAAAGTCACGCGTCCCTGAAATGAAACACACATTTCCACAAAACATTATGGAGGAGTTATCACCTTCACAGGAAATGAGAAAAAGAGAAAAGAAGTATTTATTTGATCAAAGGCTGTGCTCTGACAAAACCACGTTAACGTATTTTAAAATATTTTTTCCCTATTGTTGCATTTTATTATACTTTTTCTTGAAAGATTTTAAGATCCCATAAGTCGTTATGGAAGTCTCGATTTTATGGACAAAATAAAAACTATATAAATAAAAAGGAAACACAGAACCAGGCATGGTGGTTCACGCCTGTAATCCCAACACATCGGGAGGCCAAGGCGGGCAGATTATTTGAGGTCAAGCGTTTGAGACCAGCCTGGCCAACATGGTGAAAACCTGTATCTCCTAAAAACATAAAAATTAGCCAGGCATGGTGGCAGCTACCTGTAATCCCAGCTACAGAGGAGGCTGAGGCAGGAGAATTACTTGAACCCAGGAGACGGAGGCTGCAGTGAGTCCAGATCGCAACACTGCACTCCATCCTGGGCAACAGACTGACACTCCATCTCAAAAAACAAAAACAAAACAAAACAAAACAAAAAACACTGCTAGGTGATAGCTGTCACCTGTTATCTCAACGCTTTGGGAGACCAAGGTGGGCAGATAATGTGGTCAAGAGATCGAGACCATCCTGGCCAATGTGGCAAAACCACAACTCTACTAAAAATACAAAAATTAGCTGGGTGTCATGGAGCGGGCCAGTACTCCCAGCTACTCAAGAGGCTGAGGCAGGAGGATTGCTTGAATCTGGGAGACGGAGGTTGCAGTGAGCCAAGATCATGCCACTGCACTTTAGCCTGATAACAGAACAAGACAACAAAAAAAAAAAAAAAAAAAAAAAAAAAAGCAAACACAGGGTTTTCTCTAGAGACATGTCAGATATAATGTTCAACATACAAGGTGATATTAAGTTTCTGGATGAGCTAAGATACAAGTGGTGTTTCAGAGAGGACAAAGTCCAATGGCTTTGAAAGAAAAGTCCGAATCTAAAAACTATCATGATTGGTCAGGCACAGTGGCTCATGCCTGTAATCCCAGCACTTTGGGAGGCCGAGGCAGACAGATCATGAGGTCAGCAGTTTGAGACCAGCCTGAGAACATGCTGAAACCCCCTCTCTACTAAAAATACAAAAATCAGCTGGGTGTGGTTGTGGGTGCCTGTAATCCCCGATACTTGGGAAGCTGAGGCCGGAGAACTGCTTGAAACGAGGAGGCGGAGTTTGCAACGAGACGATATCATGCTACTGCACTTCAGCCTGCGTGACAGAGCAATACTCCATCTCCAAAAAACAAAAAAACAAAAAACTGTCATGATCACAGCAATAGTCTAGACTAACACTTTTGAATGCTTCCCATGTGCTATACACTCTTCTAAGTGCTTCCCGTGTCTTAAGCCATAAAATAACATACTATCCCATGAAGAAAGATCTGTACTTGGAGACAGTTACATCACACACACTCTAGGAAACTTGTCACAAATCAAATAGCTAAAAATATCAACACGAGCACCTGAGTCCAGATGTCTGGGGTTCACATTTGAATATAAACACCTAAGTAACAGACACAGCTTTAAACTAAACTGACACAGGTTTATCTAGTGGAGAGAATGTGATAAAGGTCCGAGGGTGAGAACATGGAGCATCCTACAAGGTCACTGAATGGACACACACAGGCATGCATATAATCCTTCACAATACTTCTTTTTTTTTTTTTTTAAGATAGAGTTTCACTTTATTGCACAGGCTGGAGTGCAGTGGCACAATGTCTCAGCTCACTGCAACCTGTGCCACCCAGGTTCAAGCCATTCTCTTGCCTCAGTTTCCCCAGTAGCTGGGATTTGAGGCACCTGCCACAGCATCCATCTAATTTTTGTATATTTAGTAGAGAAGGGGTTTCACCATCTTAGCCAGGCTGGTCTTGAACTCCTGACGTAGTGATCTACCCGCCTCAGTCTTCCAAAGTGCTGGGATTACAGGCGTGAGCCATGGCTCCCGGCCCCTTCTTACTATTAACTCATTATTGTGATAGTTGACAACAATGAAAAATACTTAAATTCATTACAATTATTATAAAAAATAAAACTTATTGCAAATGTGTTTTCTACATAAACCATGGGCTTATCCATCCATGTATTCATGCACACACATCCCATCATGCCGTTACACATGCGGTGGCATGCACCTCTAATTCCAGCTACTCAAGCAGCTGAGGCAACAGAATCACTGTAATCCGGGAGTCAGAGGCTACAGTGAAACAAAATCACACCACTGCACTCCTGCCTGGGCGACACAGTGAGACTCAATTCAAAAAATAAAAATAAAAAATAAAATAAAATCAGTGATATAATAAAGCATCCTGTACCACTGATGCCTATCTCCACTTCCCATTCCACTCTGAGTCATTAAAAGTGCAGTTTGGCCAAGCACGGTGGCTCAGGCCTGTAATCCCAGCACTTTGGGAGGCCGAGCTGGAGGAATCACAAGGTCAGGAGTTCAACCAGCCTGACCAATATGGTAAAACCCCATCTCTACTAAAAATACAAAAAAATTAGCCAGCCATGGCAGTGAATACCTGTAATCCCAGATGCATGGGAGGCTGAGGCAGAAGAATTGCTTGAAGCCGGAAGGCAGAGGTTGCAGTGATCTGAGATCCCACCACTGCAATCCAACCTGGGCAACAGAGCAAGACTCCACCTCAAAAAAGTGCAGAGTCCAGCTGAGCTGGCTGTCTCTCATCTGGAATGCCAGCAATTTGGGAGGCCAAGATGGGAGGAACAGTTGAGGCCAGGATATCAAGGCGATAGTGAGCTATGATTGCACCACTGCACTCCAACCTGGACAATGAAATAAAAATACAATATAAAAAATAAGGCTGGACTCAGTGGCCCACACCTTTAATCCCAGCACTTTATGAGTCCCAGACAGGCAGATCACAAGGTCAGGAGTTCAAGACCACCCTAACCAACATGTTGAAACCCCATCTCAACTAAAAATACAAAAATTAGCTGGCTGTGGAGGTGCATGTCTATAGTCCCAGCAACTTGGGAGGCTGAGGCAGAAGAATTGCCTGAAACTGGGAGGCGGAGGTTGCAGTGAGCTGAGATTGTGCCATTGCATTCCAGCTTTGTTGACTGAGTGACTCCATCTTAAAATAAATAAATAAATACATACATTCATTCATTCATACATGCATACATAGATATATATAGTGACCCATGCCTATCCTTCAGGCTCTTCGGGAGGCTAAAGCAGGGATTAGTTGAGCCCAGGAGTTTGAGGCTGCTGTAAACTCTGAATTATTCCACTGTACTCCAGAACTAAGCCACAGAGTGACACCTCCTCTCTCTCTCTCTCTCTTTTTTCTTTTGAGACAGAGTCTCACCCTGTCTCCCAGGCTGGAGTGCAGTGGCACAATTTTGGCATAAGGTAACTTCTGCCTCCAGGGTTCAAGTGATTCTCCTGCCTCAGCCTCCTAAGAAGCCGAGATTACAGGTATGCACCACCACACCCAGCTAATTTTTGTATTTTTAGTAGAGATACAGTTTCACCATATTGGCTAGGCTGGTCTTGAACTCCTGACCTCAAGTGATCTACCTGCCTCGGCTTCCCAAAGTGCTGGGATTACAGGTGTGAGCCACCGCACCTGGACCAACATCCTGTCTCTTTAAAAAAAAAAAAAAGTTTGGAGTCAGAGACATCTTGATCTACTCGTGTGGCTTCAAATGCATTACCAAATCAGATACACAATATCTCCCCTTATTCGTCTCCTTGTCCAGAATTTACCAGTTATCTGGGCACATTAATGTATGTATTTCATATGTAGTTTCTCTGATCTGGTCCACAAAGAGCTGACATCCAGATGTGGCCCCTGAACCACCCAGGCTGCCCAGCAGCACTGACATCAATGGGCCCACACCCCATGTTTATCCATGTCTGGGTGTGAGCCCTTCCCAGGACCTTGCCCAGTGGAGCCTCTTCCCAAGTTCTTGTCACTGGGTCACAGGAGATGGAATCTCAGAGCAGGTGACAGGAACTGAGGGCAGGCATGGGTGAGTGCGAGCGAACGTGTCAGGCAAAATGCTTCAGACTCAGAAAAGACTGGCTACTACAATTCCTGGCATTTCAGAAAGGAAAGAGACAGATTAATCCCCAGAGGAACATCACTTCACCTGAGGAAGAGCCATGCCTGGCTCCTTTCCTTTCCTCTTCTCAGCTGCTTCCTCACATAACATGAGTCTTTAGAAATCAATCCTGTATGTGAAAAAAAAAATGAGACTTCATGTTAGAAATGACTCACTCCCTTCCTGTGACAAAAACACACGAACAGGGGAGACCTCACCCTGTAGAAAGATGGTCCCCCACTGCCCACTGCACCAGAGATCATGCAGAGATAAGAAAACCCCACAGGAAGACCTGTAAGTGTACGTTTGACCCTGGTCTTCAGATCTCACTCCCCTCCTGGAGAAGCCCCCACACCAGGCAGCAGAGGGGAGCTGGGCTAGACTGATCTCCCCTTCAGGATACAGACTCATCCCTCATCAAACCCCATGCAGAGGACAGCCCCTCATCTCTCTGTGGATCACAGGCTGAGCTCAGCCCGCAGAAATGGAGGACACAGAGCTTCGATGCTCAATGCTGCACACAAATGACAAGCACCTGGGCCACTGCAGCTATTACTGAGGGTGGACTCCAGCCTTTCATAATAAGAACCCCTGCTAAAGCAGCACAAAAGCTCTATTTGCAAAATGCTCTGCAGTCTAATGTGAAGCCAGGGTTGAGTTCCATTCAGAGGGGCGAGCCCAGCACAGCCCCACGTTCTGGCTCTGCTCTCTCTTTGGGGCCTTGTTCTCACCAGGATCCAGACAGTGGATGGTAAGGGCACAAAACTAATCACACAGAACAGTCAATGTGGACCAGAGGTGGGATGAAGGTTCAGCTGTGTGTAAGGAAAATAAATCTTGGGGCCCCAGATCACTAAGCAAAATGGAAAAGTCAAGCTGGGAGCTGCTTAGGGAGCCAGACTCCCCTTCCATTCAAAGTCACCCTTCTACTCCCTGACATAGATGCCTATATGAGTGTCTCCTTTGGAAAGGCTAATCAGAAACTCAAAAGAAAGACCCAGCACAGTGGCTCAGGCCTGTCATACCAGCACTGCGGTAGGCGGAGGCAGGCAGATCACTTGGGGTCAAGAGGTCGACACCAGTCCAGCCAACATGATGAAACCCCATCTCTGGCGGGTGCGGTGACTCAAGCCTGTAATCCCAGCACTTTGGGAGGCCGAGACGGGCGGATCACGAGGTCAGGAGATCGAGACCATCCTGGCTAACACGGTGAAACCCCATCTCTACTAAAAAAATACAAAAAACTAGCCGGGCGTGGTGTCGGGCGCCTATAGTACCAGCTACTCCGGAGGCTGAGGCAGGAGAATGGCGTGAACCCGGGAGGCGGAGCTTGCAGCGAGCTGAGATCCGGCCACTGCACTCCAGCCTGGGCCACAGAGCGATACTCCCTCTCAAAAAAAAAAAAAAAAAAAAAAGGAAACCCCATTTTGTTCTCTACTAAGAGAAATTCTTCTGCCTTGAAATGCTGTTAATCTGTAACCCTGTCCCCAACCCTGTGCTTGCAGAAACATGTGCTGTGTTGACAAGGGATAATGGATTTAGGGCTGTGCAGGATGTGCTTTGTTAAAAAGTGTTTGCAGACAGTATGCTTGGTAAAAGTCATCACCATTCTCTAATCTCAAGTACCCAGGGACAGAATGTACTGCTGAAGGCCACAGGGACCTCTGCCCAAGAAAGCCTGGGTATTGTCCAAGGTTTCTCCCTACTGAGACAGCCTGAGATATGGCCTCGTGGGAAGGGAAAGACCTGACCGTCCCCCAGCCCAACACAGTCAAAAACAAGTTTTCAGCAGGAAAACTATGCGATAGGAAGTGTATACATTGCCCTATAGCAGAAAGACCCGGTACGGGACCAGCCTCCTGGCGACTTCAAACCCAAAAAGAAGCAACTTTCAGACTCTTACGGGGACGTCTCAATTTGCTCTGGGTGAAAGAAGACAGGCCAGAATTTCCAGGTCCGTGGGGTCCCCACATCCAAGGGACAGAAGCGCCAGGGACCTGGGAAGGGCAGACTTAATATAAGACAGAGCCAAACTCAGGCGCCGCAGTAGGGCCTTCACGTCACACGATCCGCTTCCGGGTTTGCGCAGGCAGGACAGAAGCCAAGCCCGGACTCCACCGGCGAGCTGGTTAAGGGGGCCTGGGATCGGGGCGGGGAGGGGGGCGGAGAGACCTTGCCCTTTAGAACCGACAGAGGGCGGGGCAGGGGCGGGACCCGTGCGTCTCTCAGCCTCACACCCAGAGCCTCTGGTTTTCGGGGTTTTGGAGGCGAGAGCGGCCAGGAAGGCTGAGGCACGATTCAAAAGCCCTGGAATTGTCTGGAACGGGAATGCCTAGAATATGAAATGCAAAGCCCTGCCTGGAAAGAACATACGATTTCATGCTGACGACCCACAGAAGAGAATAGAAATCCTCTCAATGCCGGACGAGGTGGCTCACACTTGTAATCCCAGCACTTTGGGAGGCAGAGGCGGGCGGATCACGAGGTCAGAAGATCGAGACCATCCTGGCTAACATGGTGAAACCCTGCCTCTACTAAAAATACAAAAAATTAGCCGGGCGTGGTGGTGGACGCCTGTAGCCCCAGCTACTCGGGAGGCTGAGGAAAGAATGGCGTGAACCCGGGAGGCGGAGCTTGCAGTGAACCAAAATCGTGTCACTACACTCCAGCCTGGAGGACAGAGCGAGACTCCGTCTCAAAAAAGAAAAGAAAAGAAAAGAAATCCTCTCCCTTTCTATTCTCCATTTACTCAGGAGAGGGAGTCCACCCTGTGCTCAGCTTCGGAGACTTCCCTAGGGCCTCCGCCTGGGATGCAGGAGGGAGAGCTCAGGTCAAGGAGAAATGAGGTAACCATCTGATGCTTAAACACAGCAGGGATGCGGGCGCGGGGGAGGAAGCCTGAGGTCCCAGCTACTCAGGAAGCAAGGGCGGAGAATCGCTGGACCTGGGGATCCAGGCCAGCCTGGGCGACAAAGTAACATACCCTCCCTCAGGGTTCCCTTCCTCATCTCTCTCTCTCACTCTTTTTTTTTTCTTTTTTTTTTTTTTTTTTTTTTTTTTCTGTTTTTGAGACTGAGTCTCACTCTGTCACCCAGGCTGGAGTGCAGTGGCGCGATTTTGGTTCACTGCAAGCTCCGCCTCCCGGGTCCACGCCATTCTCCAGTCTCAGCCTTTTGAGTAACTGGGACTACAGGCGCCAGTCACGACTCCTGGCTAAGTTTTTGTATTTTTAGTAGAGACAGGGTTTCACCGTGTTTGCCAGGATGGTCTCGATCTCCTGACCTCGTGATCCGACCGCCTCAGCCTCCCAAAGTGCTGGGATTGCAGGTGTGAGCCACCGTGTCTGGCCATTTTTTTTTTAAACCCTTTTTAAATAAAATTTTTGATGGCGTTACATAGGGATCCAACATTATTCTTTTCCATGTGGATATCGTTAGTTGTCCCAGCACATTTGTGAAAGAAATCTATTACTTTCTCTTGTTTTTACTTTTTTCTTTCCTTTTATTTATGAGACAGAGTATTTCTCTGTGGTCCATGCTGGGGTGCAGTTGCGAGATTGTGGTTCACTGCAGCCTCTGCCTCCTGAGTGGAAGCTATTCTTCTGCCTCAGCCTTTGGAGTAGCTGCTATTACAAGTGCACACGACTATGCCCAGCTAATTTTCATATTTTTGGTAGAGATGGGGTTGCACTATGCTGGCCAGGCTGGTCTGGAACTCCTGACTTCAAGTGATCTGCCTGCCTCGGCCTCCCAAAGTGCTGGTATTACACTAGTGAGTCACTGTGCCTGGCCCAGGAAATATTCTTTACTTCACTTTTTAAATGTGAGGAAATATAATTGAAAAACAAAGAGTCTCCTCACAAATGAGAAATCATCTCCACGACGATAATAGAGAAAGATATTAAAACTATTTTATTAATAAGCTTTAGATGAGAGTATGATGGGAAATAGAGGCAAATAGCCAAGAGGTTGAAAAGAGAGAAAGACACTTTACTGTTCTATACAACACATTAAGTTCATGTTTTCAAGATAAACACTAATCAGTCCTCAGGGAAGAGGACTTGACAACACCCTTGGTCACACACAGTTCATCCTGGCTCTGCTTGGTAATGGAGGTGACCATCTGTGTCAGCTAAGTAGCTTCATCCTGAGGGAGGGAGAGAAACCCTAACACTAACCCTAACACAATATTAGCAGGGTGTCGTGGCAGATGCCTGTAATGTTTCCGTATTTTTAGTAGAGACAAGGTTTCACCAAGCTGGCCAGGCTGGTTTCGAACTCCTGATCTCAAGTGATCCGCCCACCTCAGCGTCCCAAAGTGTTGGGATTACAGGCTTGAGCCACGATGGTCAGTCAGGAAAACTCTTAGAAGTTGCACCTGCATTTCACTAGACTCAGGTTGCAGGACAACATTCCTCTCAAGGCTCAGAATTATTTAAAGGTCCAAAGCTTTAAATTGGAATCATTTGATGTTTGAATTATTTAATTTCCTTTTTTTTTTTTTTTTTGATGGAGTCTTGCTTTGTCACCCAGGCTGCAGTGCAGTGGCGCAATCTCAGCTCACTGCAACCTCTGCCTCCCAGGTTCAAGCAATTCTCCTGCCTCAGCCTCCTGAGAAGCTGGGACTACAGGCATGTGTTACCACGCCTGGCTAATTTTTTTGTGTTTTTAGTAGAGACAGGGTTTCACCATGTTGGTCAGGTGATCTCAAACTCCTGACCTCTTTATCAGCCCACCTTGGCCTCCCAAAGTGCTGGGATTACAGGCGTGAGCCACTGTGCCCAGCCGTTGTTTGCCTTTCAAAGCGAGCTCCCAAATTCTTCAGAAATACATCCCTGGGCCGGGAGTGGTTGCTCACACCTGTAATCCCAGTACTTTGGAAGGCCGAGGATGGAGGATCATCTAAAATGAGAAGTTCAAGACCAGCCTGGCCAACATGGTGAAACCCCGTCTCTACAAAACTATAAAAATCAGCCAGGCATTATGGTAGGTGCCTGTAGTCCCAGCTACTCTGGAGGCTGAGGCAGGAGAATCGCACGTACCGGAGAGATGGAAATTGCGGTGAGCCGAGATCGCGCCATTTTACTATGGCCTTCGGAAGAGCGAAACTTCCGAAGAGGGGAGGGGAGGGGAGGGGAGGGGAGGGGAGGGAACTACCTCAGAAGACAGAAAACGCATTTGCAAATTTTCTAAATAAATGTCCTAAGAAAAGAGATGAAAGGAAAGAAAATCTCCTTCTTTATTTTCAAAGGAGGAATTGTACCTCTCATTTATTTGCTTGCTTGTTTGAGACAGGGTCTAGCTCACTCACCCAGGCTGGAATGTGGTGGCAAACACAGGGCTCACTGCAGACTTCAACGCCCTGGCTCAAGTGATCCTCCCACCTTTTTCACTAAGCATTTGGAAGAGATATCTACAAAATATAAACACCAATACGTTTCCAATTAAGTCCAGATGGTAGATCATACTGAAATGTGTAAATACAACACAAAAAATAGTACTTATCTTAAACTTCCCAAACATGATCTTCAAAGTTTAGGAACACAAAAGGAGTAAGATTCTTTAATAAATAAAGGGCGATTACATGTCCTTCAAATCATTTCTACGGAAGCCTATTTCCAATATCATGACAATACACTGACAGGGCACAAACATGTGTAAGCCTAAAGTCAGAAGTGTTTTTCCACTGTGACCCTAAAGTGCATCACAGTTTACAAAAACCATATCACTGTCACATCAATGAAAAGTATATATTCCTCATATTTACAGAATATCTAGTGTATACAAATAAATGCTAAAGGACCATACAATATACGATATTGGTAAATAATCCACAACAAGCTCATGTCAGGGTAACCAAAATCAATGGAAATTCTGTATTGTCAAATAATCACAGCACAGGGAAGATAAGAAAAGATTGCAACAATTAGCCAGGCCTGGTGGCTTGCACCTGCAGTCCCAGCTACTCGGGAGGCTGAGGCACAAGAATCGCTTGAACCTGGAAGGGAAAGTTTGCAGGGAGCCAAGATTGCACCACCGCACTCCAGCCTGGGTGACAGAGTGAGACTCCATCTCAAAAAAAAAA